GGCTTGTCACAACCTTCAATTTGTAAAACATGTAAATCCTCCTTTTTTTTTAATGCTCACATTTTCTCATTTTGTGATAGTTTCGTTGATTCTGAGTATCTTTCTTTCCACTTCATATAGCTACTCTGATAATTTTGTATTTTTATTAATTAATTATTATTATTAACTATTAATTCTCCTCCTTCTCAGGTATATAATTTAGTGGCATTAGTTATATTTGTCAAGCTATATAAGTGATTATCATAGTCCCCTGTTCTTTTTCTGACTTTTATGTTAAATATTAACTCATTTCATTTCAGTCTTAAATATATGCATTTTAAGGCAATACATTTTCCTCTAATATCTGCTTTCGTTGCAAACCAGAAATGTGACTATATCGTGTTTTTATGGTTAAGCTCCCCCCATTACCCATAATCATGTGTGTGTGTATCTTCAAAATATTTTCCTGTTTCTTTGTTTCTCCAAATGCTTTTGAGAAGCCTGCCCTCAGTCAATCCAATTACTCTTTCAATGAATAATCAGTCTTTTCTTTGTGGTTGCTTTTACTGTTGGTTTTAGGTGTTCGAAATTTCCCTCTAGTGTAAATAGTTGTGGATTTCTTTTTCTTTACACTCTGTTTTTGGTGATCTTGATAGACTTACACCTTTTGTTGGGCCTTTGATTAAAGTTCTCGGCCATTATTTCTTCAGTTTTTGTATCTCTCCCATCTTCTTTATTCTCATCCAGAATGCCTATTAAAATGTGTCTGATCTCATTCTAACTTGTCTTCAAATATTTTAAATTATTAAAATTTTATAAGAGTAAATATGCTGTGTGTAGTTTAAATAATAATTATTGTAAGAAAACAAACACATAGGACCATCAACTAGCAGCTTGCACAAGAGAACCTTAACCTGGGGTGAGAGCTGTAGGGCAGGTAGGGACGTAACCATCTTGCATTGTTTTTTATGACATTGCAGTGGGAGAATGTGGTAAGAACACCAGCATAGGTGTTTGTTTAAAAGTTGTGGGGGGTTTTTTTGCCTTGACTGCAGCACTTTATTCTTACACTGGGCGGTATTGTTGGGGCCTAATACTCGCACATGATAGTAGAAAAACCAAAATTTGTCTTCTCTAGAGTTGAGAATCGTGTATAAAAACCTTACATAAATTAAGAGGATGAATACAGTTTACAGGTTTTAATGCAAAGCGTCTTCCAACTCAAGGCAAGTAACATGCACTGTGATCCGGCAGGAAAAGGCTAAGAAAGGAAATCGGGTCTTAAGGCTCAGATTTTTCCAATCCCATGAGGGAGACCAGCAGTCACAACTGCTCCTCCCAGCCTGCAGCCTCTGGGGGACCTGGAGCCATCAGCTCTGCCAAGAATACCCTGCAGACCACGAGGTCGGGGAGGTGGGTCCTTGCCCAGCCAGTGGCCTTCGTCACACGAGCTAAGGGTTGAAATCAAATTATGTACAGGGTATTAAACATAGACTGAGGGAACAGGCATCTTGATACAAGGTCAGATCAGCAACAAGGTCTAGCTCCGGTGCTGATTTCGAGGTACAGGCTTCAAGGACAATGTTTTCAAAGGCTTCTTCCAGTCTCAGAGGCTCAAGGTAGGCGTGCGGGGTGGCTGCCCTCGGAGGAGCTCATGCAGGCGGGCACCTTGTAGAAGCATTTGCGGTAGACGATGGAGGGGCCCATCCATCGTACTCCTGTTTGCTGATCCACATCTGCTGGAAGGTAGACAGCGAGGCCAGGATGGAGCCACCGATCCACACGGAGTACTTGCGTTTGGGGGTGCAATGATCTTGAGCTTCATGGTGCTGGGTGCCAGCGCCGTGATCACCTGCATCCTGTCAGCGATGCCTGGGTACATGGGGGCCCCGCCCCACTGGTGCTGGGTAGAGGTCCTCTCTGATGTCCACATCACACTTAGTGATGGAGTTAAAGGTGGTCGGTCTCATGGATGCCCCACACGACTCCTTGCCCCGGAAGGACGGCCGGAAGAGCGCCTCTGGACACCGGAAGTGTGTGTTGCCAGATGCGGGTGGCCCTCCATCGGGCAGCTCGTGCCTGTACTCCAGCGAGGAAGAGGAGGTGGCCGTGGCATCTCCTGCTCCAAGTCCAGCGCCACAGAGCACAGCTCCTTGATGTCGCGCTCGATCGTGCGCTCGGCTGTGATGGTGAAGCTGTAGCCTCGCTCGGTGAGGTCGTGGCCAGCCAGGTGCAGGTGCAGGTGCAGGTGCAGGTGCAGGATGGTGGCAGCAGCGCGTAGCCCTGGTAGATGCACACCATGTGCCACCGGAGTCTATGACAATGCCTGTGGTGGGCCCAGCGCTTACGGCCACAGCGCGGCTAGATGGCCACGGATGTGGTGAAGGTCTCGAACATGACCTGGGTCATCTTCTCGTGGTTGGCCTTGGGGTTCAGGGGCGCCTCGGTCAGCAGCACCGGGTGCTCATCAGGGGCCAGGCGCAGCTCGTTGTAGAAGGTGTGATGCCAGATCATTTCCTGTCGTCCCAGTTGGTGACGATGCCATGCTCCATCTGGTACTTGAGCGTCAGGATGTCCCACTTGCTCTGTGCATCGTCGCCCACATACGAGTCCTTATGGTCCATGCCCCCATCACACCCTGGTGCCGGGGGCGCCCCACGATGGACGGGAAGACCACCCGGGGGGTGTCGTTGCTTGCAAAGCCGGCCTTGCACATACCGGAGCCAGTCAGTGACCAGGGCAGCGACCTCGTCTTCCATGGCAACGGAGAGGAGAGTGGGCCTGTGGCGGTGGAGACTGAATAGAAGTTGTTCTTTCTGAAACGTGTTATCCTAGGATGTGATAGGTGGGGATTTCCCACTTTTAAATTGTGGGTGCTAGAACCCTACTGAGTACATTACCTTGACTGTCTTCGTTTAGTACTCATAAATCTTGAAGAATGAACTATTTAAAAAAACCTGTTATTCTCATTCTATAGATGCGGAAACTGATGTCGACAGATCAAGTAATTCGGCCTGTGCTTCACAGCTAAAAAATAGTAGAGCCTTCTCCTAGCTCCCGGATTCTATATTTCAGCATATTTGTTGCTGTTTTCTTCTGTGGATTCCTTTTTCAATGATAATTTTTCAAGAGTTTAATGAGTTTTGTTAAGTGTAAAAAGGAGTTGAGGAAGAGGCTTGTAGGCATACCATCTGCAGATCTCTGCTGTCGTTGGCTATTTAAATGTCTCTTCTTATTGAAGTATCATTACTAGATTTTCTAGCAAAATCTATTCATTTACTCCATCATTAAAAATGAGCAAACTTATTGTTTATGAGATTTTTTTTTGTTTTTTTTTTGTTTGTTTATGAGATTTTTATGGGCTTGACCTGTAATGCGTCCTGGGAGCACTGAAATAAATCTGCGGCCTGTGCTGTTTGTTCATCTTAACTGACGGGATAAATGAATGTGGTTTTTTTAGAAGATCTAGTAATAATACATGACAATCATTTTTTTATTGAACACTTATTATGAGAGACCCTTTACGTATTATGTATATACAGATCACTTTAATACTAGTGGTGATTGATTGTGTACTAACTCTGGTGGCCTAGTGGGTAAGGAGTTGTGCTGTCAGCTCAAAGGCAGGCAGCTCAAATCTACCAGCTGCTCCAAAGAAAAAAAAAAAGGGCATTCGCCTCCAGTGTGATATATAGCCTCTGAAAACCTGCTGCACCGTCAGCTGTGAGTCAGTTTTGACTTACTGGCACACAGCAACAACAGTGGTGGAAATAGATTGCGTTGTTGTTATTAAGTGCCATAAAGTAGTAGATGACTCATAGTGACCCTATGAATGAAAGACCTGAACACTTGTATAACTTTCATCATTTCTCTAAGTTCATAGAATTTCCAGACTTGCTTTAGATAACTAATTAAAAAGCTATTAAAAAAATAAAAAGCTATTAGTTGTAATTTCCCTAACAGTGCTGTGGAAGAAAGGCCCAGCAATCTACTTCCATAAAATTAAAACCAAGCCCAAACCTGTGGCCATTATTTTGATTCCAATTCACAGCAAACCTGTAGGACAGTGTAGCACTGTTCCCTGGGCTTTCCAAAGCTGTCGTCTTCATAAGGACAGAGCACCACTGGTGGATTCAAACTGCCATCCGTTAGCAGCTGAGTCACTGGACCACCAGGACTCCCTTTCTGTGAGATTATAGACAGTGAAAGCCCTGTAGCACATGAGGTCACCAGGGGTAGGAATCAGTTCATTGACAGTAGGTTTGCTAGTCCTTATACTGAGAGAGCTACAAACATGGTCTTAGAGACTCTCCTGTGAAGAGCCACATCTTCACAGTAATCTTGGAAAAGAGATACTGTATAACCAAGAGAGATAATATAACTTCCTTACAAAGTAACACACTGTTTAAGTGGTGGAGCTTAGATTAAAACCCTTACCTGCCTGATTCTGGAGCCTATGATCTTCACTTTAACATATAGTTTCTCTGGAGATTTCCACAGTTGGATCAAATTGAGGAAGCTCTAGGATTTAGAGATCTTAAACTATTTCATCTGGTCCCAGTGTCAGGCTGGTTTGCCCTAGCAAGGCAGCAGTAGCAAACATGAGTTGCTAGACTGGTGATTTATACATGTCCTTCTGGAGCACACAGCACTTCCTCATGGACTGGCACTAGCCTGTTCAGAAAGGAAGTAGCTTTTTTACAGTTGAAGTAGTGCTTGTCTTGGTTGACACCATTCTAATTTGTAAATTACCTTAAATAAGAAAATAGGTCTGATTTAGTAAACTCTTGTGGTCACAGGAGTTTAGAACCTTGGAAGTTAGTAGAATGTGATTGATGGTAGCCTCTACGGCAAATATAACTTGACGGTTCTTACTAGTTATTGTTGGCAGGTATAGATGTTGCCCTTTATAAGTAATGGAGAGTTTTGTGTGGTGGTAATAAGGGAGAAGTAGAGCTGAGGCAACATGCAAACTCTAAGGTGTATGTTACAATAATGGATCTATTTCTCTTCTGTTTCAGACTGGTCGAATTGACAAGTCCTACCCTACTGTATGTGGCCACACAGGACCAGTGCTTGACATCGATTGGTGTCCACACAATGACCAAGTCATTGCCAGTGGTTCAGAGGACTGCACGGTTATGGTAAGCTCCCACTACATGTACGCAACCCTTGCGTCTCCCTTAAAACCTGAAGTAAGGTTGTGTTTTTGTGTACTTAAGAGTATAGAACATTATACCATTTTTTAATTGCACATGGGTTTTCTAAGGATTATACTGTGGTGGCTCTGGTGCTGTAGTCTGAAACAAATTGCTGCTAAACCAAGGACTGCACATGTCTGGCGGTTCAAATTCAGCAGCTACATTGCAAGGAAAAGATGAGCCGTGTCCATCTCTTCCTCCTATGATTTATAGCCTCACAACGCTGATGGGCTTTGCTATGATTTGGAGCCAGTTTGTCAGTAAGTTAAAATTGACACTGTCTTTTTCCCCTTTTTTGACTACGTGCTTGTGCATGCTTATTAACAGCCGACATCTGCCCTGCTAAGACTTTAGGGAAAGTGAAATGACTTTCTAATATTTTGGTCAATGTTTTATGCCCACATGACCCACAGAACAAAGAAAAAATGTGCTACCACAAACTGTTGCCATAAAATCCAGGGCCAGAGGGACAGCTCTTGAGACAGAATGAGAGGAGTTTTTAACAGATGCTTATTTTCACCCTGATCTCTGAAGGCATCTTCTGTCCCATGAACCCTTGCTAAGAAAGCCCTCTTTGTGCAGATACAAAAACAAACCAAACAACTTCAAAGATAAAATATGTTCTTACCATTTCCTGTTTTAAATTCCCAAAGTAAGTTGTTTTAGCGAGATGAATTTGGGTGAAGTGAAATCAAGCTTTGGAATGCTTTCATTTCCCCCCCTTCTTCTTCAGCTTTTCCATTGTAATTTTGTTGTAGAGAGAATATGTACAGTGAAACATATACCAATTCAACAATTTTGACATGTACAATTCAATGATTGTTTGTATTCTTAAGTTCATGCACCAGCCATACTCAGCTGCTTTTTTGAGTTGTTCTCCCCCGTTACTTACTGCCCCTGAGGGTTTTTCTCCCTCTCTCAAGTTAATGTTGTTAATTTGTCCCTTGTAAGTAGACATACCATGGACCTCTAAAAAAAAACAAATAGATCTGTCTTGGAGAGGGTGAAACCAAGTTTCTCCTTGGAGGCTAGGATTTTGAAGCTCCTTCTCACATTCTTTAGGCATGTGGCCAGGAGAGACTAGTCTTTGGAGAAGGACAGCCTGCTCAGAAGGGTGGAGGGACAGTGCAGAAGAGGACGACCCTGGATGAGATGGATTGATAGAGTAACTGGGGCAATGTGGATAGGTGTGTCAGAATCAGTGAGACTGGCTCAGGACAGGGCAGGCTTCAGAGCTGTTGCACAACTCCATGGCACATGACAAGAAGTAGATTTTAAAAGAGCATAATGCTCAACCCAGACATTCTTTACAAGTTAAGTTCTACTATTTGGTTTTCAGAAAACTTGAGAAATACTTACAGTTTAAGATTATCGTGAGGCAAGTTTCAGGGATTTGTCTAGCTTCTTTGGCTCCAGAAACTCAGGATTCCACGAGATTTTGAAATTTGAGTCTACATTTTTGCCCCTTCACAGGAATGTAGAGTTTCCTGCCTTTGATTAGTATCTCTTTAGCCTTAAAGTTTAATTATTGGTGTGGATCAGTTGTCATCCTAGCCCAAATTATGTTGAAAAGCTTTAGAGTAAGCCTAAACAGGAAGTCTTCTGGCCCAAAAATTAATGGAGAGAGTCCCTAATTAAGTTGCAGGGGGTCTGCGGCACATTACATAGAGGATTTGGAGAACACAGTTCTTCTCTTCATTTTCTGTGGCCTGAGCCAGACCCAGCAACATTGTCTGGAAGACTTTCCTAATTAGAAAATGGATTTACATAAACACATTAATTCCTGAACTGCATCATTTAAACATTTATCCATCTTCCCTCATGGACTTTTGGCTGAGAATGACTCCTCCTGTGATCTCATAGTTTTGGCAGCCAGAATATATCAAAGAAATATGCTGCTGTTGAAAAGAACTGTTCCATTTAATGTGCCTTGCAGAATTGAGCATTTAAATGGTAGCAGATACATATCTGCAAAGGAAAAGGAAAATTATCTGCATCTCCTGCCTAAATCATACACCGAGAGGCTCAGCCTTTCTTGAAGGAGTGGATTTAAAATGTTGTCTTCTTACTCTTCCCAACTCTAGCATTACTCACAAAACAATCATATAATTCAGTGGATTACTACAAAGTGAATACCCTGTAGCCATCACCCAGGACAAGAAGTAGAGCTTAGCTAAGCAACCCCCACAGCGGCCCCCTCCAGGTGTCCAGTCAGAGGCTCTCCTTTCCTCTCAAAGTAATTTCTATCGTGACTTTTCATGGTATTCACTTCCTTGCCTTTATAAGTTCATGGGGTGGAAATTGCTGTGGGATCTAGTTGCGTGCCTCTGCCATTCACTAGCTGGTGGAGAAGGGAAATGTTCTCCTACTTGGGGACCTCAATTACCCTGCTGTTACCTGGCCTGTCAGCAACCCCAGTCCCACCCTGTGCTTGCATTATACATAAAGGCTGATAATGTATAGGTTATGTGGCTCTAATGAGCTGCCCCATACTCATGCATTTTGGGATCATTGCCCAATTTTCTGTAAATAATAGATTTTCATCTTGTTATCAGCTTGCTTTATAGTTTGGGGAGATCCAAATTAATGCTGTTGCTGATGTCACTGTCTTCTCAGACTCCTTCATGTACCACATTTTATTGGCATTGTCAGAATGAACATTTTATAAATGAAATAATGCTTTGGGATCAATTGTAATTTATTTTTTTAAAACGTCTTAAGTATGCCGGCTCTGGCGGAAAATCGCCTGTGACTTCATCCGTAGCCACTGGTGAGAGTCAGCGCCCAGAGCCATCAGGGGCTTTAAGCTCGTTGCCCACTGCTGTGGTGTGGACAGCTGAAACCCAGGCCCCGACAGGCACCTGGGGGGGGG